GAATATTTCTTGAATAGCGTGCTTTTTCTGTTCTTGTAATATGTATTCGTCCTATTAAATCACGGGCGACGCCTGCTTCGAGCTTGGCACTGCTTTATCGGAACAGATGCAGCAATAGCTAGATTTACTGTATTGTAGAACGATGACAATAAGCTTTCAATACTCCCAGTTGAGAAATCAAGCCTTATATATCCTTATATCCTTTCGTTCTTTTCACATTTGCTTTCAATTTTACACAAAGTCACAAAAAACATTTAAACACTTGGCGATCAAACAGACCATCCCCGCTTTAAGAGCAAAAGACTATGGCGGTTACCTGCAGGCATGCAGACAGACCTCGGACTTTTTCTCTCTCTCACTATTATAATATTTGCAATTACATAATAGTAATAGTGAAAAAGAGTAATCTAAAGAAAAAACATGATTTGTGGTGATCCGCTAGTATAATTAAAACATGCAATATGTAAAATCAGATCGACACCGAGAAATACTCTACCTACGCGGACGTGATAACCGTCCAGTAGTTCGTCAGTCTCGATAAGTGTTTCTGTGCGTGTATGTATGTATATGTATGTATGTATGTATGTATATATACATATGCTATATAGCTCATTATACATAAGTTTTACACTGGGCTTATCACCATATACCATTAACTGATTGATGATAAAATCAAAAACTTTTAAGGCCCCTTTTTTATAGCGTGTCTTAACTGTGGAGTGGATTGATGGCTGTAAAATGCACGATCTTCAAAGTATAAAAAATATGCGACTACAAATCAAAGACGTGGATCGAAAACTCTTCCAATTGTTTGCTGAACAAATCTTCAATTCGGGTTTTGTGCATGCGGATCCCCATGCCAGTAATAGTAAGTAAGCTAAATGTTCCAAATTTTTTTGTTCAATGTGCAATTTAATTTTTTTCTTAGTTCTAGTAAGGAAAAGTCCCAGAACGGGTAAAGCTGAACTTGTGTTGTTAGATCACGGTTTATATGAAGAATTACCAGCTGCTGTTAGAAAGCCATTATGCGAATTCTGGGAAGCCACTGTTTTAAATGATGAACACCGCATGTTTAAAACCGCTCGACAATTAGGTATCAACGATTACATGAAATTTGCTGAAGTATTATTTCAATACCCTATACGTACTCATGGTGGGCGGATGCCCACAAGATTGAATGCCGATGACATCCAGTATATGCAAAAGGTAGCAAAGCAAAATTTTGATTTAATAATGTCCACTTTGAAAGAAATGCCACGCAATATGTTATTTGTAATAAGGTAACCGAATAGGTTCATTTAGTTGATATATTGGATGCGTTACGCGTTTAGTCTATTGCAGGAATTTAAATACCGTACGAGCGATAGGACGTATGCATGGTGACGTTGTAGATAGGCCTCGTGTGATGGCCCTTTATGCTCAGCGTTATATATACAAAAAATATAATTCATTACAAGGTTTTTTCTTATGGTTATTTCGTAGATTATATTTCGAATACTCATTTCTGTAAGTAAAACGGAGTAACATTTATCCTGTTTAATATCTTCTATGTCTTCCAGGTCTTTCACTTTAAAACGCTCTTGTTTAAATTTATACTTTTACACTCTGTACAAATTAGGACGGGCTCCTGAAACGGCAACAACTATATTAAGAGATCTGACCGGTGCGACTTAAAAAATTGAGAAAGTATTAGATTAAGTGAAAAGTTAAACTGTAATTGGTGCTCTATGTTTGTCTACATTGTTGCTTTTTTCTTTTATCTTTTTTACATAATTAAACAGTATTGTTTCTCATCTTCTAGTTTAGGAATTTTGCTTTCTGTTTCCATTTTTAAGCTCAAGTACGAATTCTCATATCTTTTTTCTAACCAATCTGGTAACGGTTTAGACCAATCTTCAGGGGGATGTTTACGTTTTTTCCAAACTGTATTGCCGTAGTGACCTTTAAAACGTATTAAACGTCTTTCCTCTTCGCTATTAATCACGGCTTGCCCGGCCGTTAAATCATTGCCTTTTGATTCTTCATATTGTACGCAATTTCGAAAGTCATTATGCCACTGCGTACAATCTATACTTTCTCCGTGTATAAAATATTGATGAAATCTGGCCTTTATGCTTGTGCAATCATCATATTCATCTTTGTAAACTGAACAAGGTCTTATCTATATGTTTAGATATGTTACAATAGATTTTTAACTTATACTAATTGCTTTGTAGACTTACCGACCATGAGTCTTTTAATACAAACTTTATGTCATTAGAGTTTTCCACTTTTTCAGTCATGATTTAACAGCCAAAGTAAATGTTATTCAACAGTTACTTTTTCCTTAATTGCTTAGAAATTTTTTTAATAATCAGCTGTTAAATATTAGTGCGGATTGCCAAGTCAAGTTAATCTCCAGTTTCACTTGCTTCTTATTGTTTTGACTTCTTTAATGTATATGAAAAATTAAGATCTAATCTTAAAACTGCAGTTTTCACATTTTTGAAAAAAAATTTTGAAAAAAGTAATATTTCAAAGAACAATTTCTAAATTTTGGAATAAATGATAAAAATAGATAACGGTTTTCGGTACCACTATAAAATTTAACCAGATTCTGAAGAGTGACAAAACAATTCCTTGAATTCAAAACTTACAGGTAATAAATAAAATTCAAGTAACAAAGTAAAATTCAGACATAGACAGAATAACGCAATTATTTAAAGTTAATTTATATTTTATTGATTAATAATTTACTAACGGTAGTATTATATTAAAGTTGTGGACTGGTTAATTATTATTTGTTCACAATTAAAAGACTGTTGTCGGTTCTTCTTACGCTAGCTGTGCTTATTGTGTAAAATACCTTCAAATGGATCAACGGAGAAGTTACGAGGTTATTCGGAATTACATTAAACTAAGTTTAATCTAGAATTGTGTCGAGCTAATTTATAAATGGTTAGAGTTACTTTAAATTAAATTAGTACTTAGTAAAATTATTACTTAAACATTGCATTACAAAGAATATGCGGGAAAATGCATAAAATTAATTCAATAAAATAAAGCAAAGCAATAATCCTACAGAAGTTTTTAGTTCTCCCAGCATTTTGTGAAAATAAGCTCCGTATGAGCAGCAAAGTAGGCAAGAATCGAGACTACTAAGTTGTGTTCGCGGGTTTAAAGCCCAAGTGCAGTAAAATTTACTTTGATTACAGCTACAGTAAGCGCTTACTTGGTGAAGCTTACTTACTCATTCGGCAGACACTCACTAGAATACTGCTGTCACTTACCTAAAACTCTCTTCTCCCTCTAATCCTCACCTTCTCACACGGATAGGTAATATCCCCTGAGTGATCGGTCGTTTATCTATTTGATATTTCTTGGTATTTATTTATTTTTTGTAAGCGTGAAGAAATCCAACTTGCCGGAGAAAAAAATCAACCATGGTATCGGCAATGAGAAAAGTATCAAGTGTGATTATAATCTTAAGCTTTTTCTACCATTCCTGTTTGTTGAGAAGTGCTATGTATTATTATAATTACTATACTTAGAGAAATAAATTCAAAGACTAATTCTTAAGCACTATCATCAATTTTTTTTTCAATGCATTGTGTGAACAGATAATTTCAAAGGAAATCGTAAAATAGTAAGGCAGGCAAATCGTCGTTGTTATGAACAATTCGCTTGATATGCGCGTTATTTCTTCTTTGTGTTTGAGCCTTTTGCACCTTGATAACACCTCAATAAGAAAAGTTTAACAGCTGTTTATCTAAATACTATGATTTTTATTCCGGAAGAAGAAGAGATACATATACTTGTAAATTTCTCCATGGTATTTTTTCCAAACGAATCTAGAGGAATATTTGGATTTCTGGAATTCAAATCATTAACGTTTTAGTATTTTATAAACTAACCTTTCGGTATGGTGGTAACTAACGATGTATCTCTGCCCACCGAAGAAGAACTGACCGTAACTGAATTAAATCTATCAACAGCTGCTTTAAGAGCCGGAGCCTTCCATTTGGGAAAGTCATGTGAAAATCCAAATAACGTGAGTTTTCATTTTAAAAAAATATGTATGTAAAAAAGTTTATTAGTAAGGTGTGGAAAGTTAAAGAAAAAAATTACACAGTTTTAGTGTCAAGAAGATTATATAATTTTTTGTGTTTACTATACCATAATAACTTAACCTTATATTGATAATAGTTTTTTGTTTATATTTGTTTTGTTTTGTTCTCAGGAATTTATGCTATGCCGTTTGGAGTTAGATGATCCGCGAGCATGCATCATGGAAGGAAAAGTTGTTACTCGTTGCGCGTTGGATTTCTTTCGCAAAGTAAAGAAATCGTGTTATGAAGAATTCATGCAATATGCAAATTGCTTGGATAAAAGTAGCGGCACTATGGCTTTCAGGCAGTAAGATATAATCAATTATATGAAATTAGTAAAAAAAAAAACAAATTTAAAGAAACTGCCATGTTTTTCTATATCTAAAAGTTGCCGTAAAACGCAAGGCGTGTTTGATAAATGCATGAAGGATAATTTGGATATCGATCGTCCAGAATATGGATACTTTACCAGGGCCAAGGTATATGAATGTTATTACGATATCTCGCTGGTTATATCAAAGACTTTTTGTTATATTGCTTTTGTCATTCTTAATAGATACATCACACAGAGCGACCTGCTCCCCCGAAGCGTGAAAAGAAAGTCTACGATGATGCTACACCTGGCTTGCCAGAGGATTATCCTAAGCCGCAAGCAAAGTACGGATCTCGTTTCCATTGGTTGGAATAAATTGCAATAGCAGCAAAAGTTAGTGAATGATAAAAATTATAAAATAAACATTTTTCAAAAACCAAAAAAAATGATTACATATTAAAAATATGGAAAAGAGCTAATTAAAAGTACTTAATACCTGCTATATATTGACCTTCAATCCATTTTATTACATTTCGTATTAAAAACATGGGAAAAGAAACCGATTAATGCCCACATGCCTTATTGACTTTTCCTCCATCGTTTTCAAAAGAAATCAAAATATTAATTCGATTGGTAGTCTCTACAGAGAGATATTTCTATATGAATCACATGAGACATTTGGTTGTACCAAGTCTCTAAACTCTTCCTAGAAGTCCGCAGCATTTTTTTTTTTTATAATAGGGATTTTAGCTTTTTTGAAAATTTTAAAGGACATGTAATATAAGAGATTCAAGTCGCGTTTGATGGATTTTTACTACCGACACTTTCAGATAAAGTTGGCAAATTAATTTTAAAATTGTTTTGATAAAAAAAATTAGAAATTAAATAAAATTGGCAACAATATGCATTCAACAGTTTAAAAAAACACCAAGAATTAAAAGGTTGTAAAGAAATATGAGATTTTTACCATACGATGTAGATTTCATGGAAATCGGTAGAGATGGTGCGGTCTACAAATAAATCTCTAGGATTTAAATTCTTTACGATTCGATTTATTAAGGAAATATTTTCATCATAAGATATTAAAAAATAGACTTTTTTGGCATATAAAGCCTTATTTTTCATTAGGATCTCTATAGCGGTACCTGGTTCATGGATTAAGGTTAAGCTTTATGTCAAATTATTATAATGAACGAATCTTCGCCAAAAAATATTGAAAACTATGCTTTCTTATCGTGTAAAGATTCAGTTTCCATATAGATGGGTTCAAAAATTTCTCCACCCGATTCTGAATTTTTTTATCATTTTAGAAAAGATTATAATATTGTTTCTTATGATTTGTCAAAATAAGACGATATGTGGAAGGTGAGCGAGAGAGCGGTCCGCTTGCAAACATTTGGTTATGAGAATACCAGAACAGATGAATTAAAAAGTTGATTTCAGTAGTATAAGCTCATAGATACAATTTAAGAATGCTGAAGGTTGGTTGTATAATTTATTTTTGGACAAAAATCCGGCAGTCATACAATGCCCAGTGGCGGTTAAATCTAATTTCACTCAACGCGGAAAGCACACGTTTAAGAATCAATTTATTAGTATGCGATACGTGTCAAAAAGAGTTGGCCGTAGATGAAAACTAACTAAATTGTTTCTTACATTAAAATTAAAATATCTGTGTATCGAACCACTGTTCATTATTAAAAAACTAAACAAAAGATCAACATTTTTTCTTCTTCAATTACGTTCTATATTGTAAGGGTATAGCAAGTTTGTTTGGATATATGCAAGAACTAAATGAAGTTGAGAAAGAATCACTTTTATCATGCCAAGCGATTCAGAATGATTTTCTGAATAGACTTAGACTGCCTTAATATTTATTAATTTTGTCCACAACTCAGTATACTCTGCACCATGAATGGTGAACAAAAAGAAAGTTGCAGAAAGATGACAAGATAAGATTGTTTTCTAAATATCTTATTAATAACTATACATTTCACTCAGTGTACCATTTGGTACGTTTCGCCAGTTTAACCGTACTATTGTCTACATTGGTTCGATTATCCAATAATTTCTTATATTTATTAACTAACGATGCTAGATCATCTTTTTCCACATTGTAGTCTTGCTTCGGTCTGATTTTATTTTCACGTGCTTGTTTAATGCGTTCCTGTTTAGTTTTCTTTTTTTCATTTTTCACTCGCTGCATATGCGTTTCAGATTGTTCTTTAATCTTTTTGAGGGAACGCATACGCAATGAAGTTCCCGCCATAGCTGTGGCACCAACAAACGCTTCCCCTTCTTCTGCCATGATATGAACTTTTTGCCCACTTGCAGCTTGACTTTTTTCCAATTTGTTTACATGTTTTTTTAATTTGTCTTTATCATCACTTTGCAGACTCTTAGGGCCTGTTTTCAAAAACGATTTTTTGCTTAACTTTCCATGCTCTATCATCCTCTTATGTTCTACCAACTTTTGCTTAAATGTTGGATTATTAAGTTTGGACTTTTCCGTACGTTTTTCTTTAATTCTGTGAACTTCTCGATCTTCTATGCTAAAGGCTACAATAGGCCGCTGAAAATTATCAAAAAAAAGGAGGTTTAAGTTTCCGAAGAACTAGCTCTCATTATAAAAAACTTACGTGCTGCTGGCTAAAAATCTTTGGATTATTATTTAGTTTCCTCAAAGCTAACAGCGCTTCTTGATGTGTCTTAAATGACATAAAACCATATCCTTTAGACTTACCTTTGGGGTGATCTCGTGCAATATTATTCTCGCGCATTACCCGACATTCATGGGGCTTGAATCCGGTATAGGTTTCAATTATATCACGCAACTTATCATTATTATAATTTAATGGTAAATTATGGATAGATAAACGATTACGCGAGACAAATCTAAAAAAGAAAATGAGAAAATTATATTCGGTGGTAACCGAATCTTTTATAACCATCACCGTTATCCTAAGAAATACAAAAAATGTAAAAAAAGTAAATTTTCATAATCTATAATATGCATTGGGAGCGGTTGATTTTTTCTTTTTTCAAAATAAAAGGTTTTGTTACATAGGCATGGGGGCGGTGTTTATATATATTACTAGAATTTTTTTTGCGTGAGTGTTACTTGTCATGAGAAAAAAATCAATTTGACGTCGATAGCTCAATTTTTGCGGCCAAGAGAACATTATGCAGGCGGATAGACGGACATAATGAATATACCCTTTATCCTTCCGGGATGGGTACCAAAATCTTTTCAGCAGCTTCCCATTGGAAGGGCATTCTAATTACCTATTCAATTTTTTTAGTACTTGGGCTTTCAGTTGCTCCAATTTATGACGCTTATTCATATCCGAAGCCGAAACACCTTCTGCTGCATTCGAACCGGCCATGATGAGACCTTCTCTCGTTAAGTATAAATTACGCGAATCCTTTCCTTCCTTCCTTTCTTTGTTTTCCTTCGTGTGCTCACGTATTTCCTCTTTGCTCAAGGCTGGATATGGGTGCAGGATTTCATCCATTAAGGTGAACTCCGAGCCTGCTTGTAGACACAGATCGGCAGATTCTTTTGATTTGAATTTTACAAAAGCTGTTCCCTTAGAATGACCTGATATCGGATCTCTGTTGATAATGGCATATGAAACGGGTCCGTATTTGCGACATACTTTACGTAGATCTGCATCTTCTGTATCAAATGCTAAATTTTTTATAAATACAGTGCAACGCTCTTTGACATCATTGGAAATGTTTTTTTGTTTAATGACTTTCTCTATGTTTGCTTTTCCTTTATTTTCTTTTTCCCCAACACTATTACTGTTACAATCCTATGAATTACTCAAGTTTTTATTAATTAAGAGTCACTATAGCTCTCCTTACGTTACCTCTTTGTTATTTTCTTCATTATTTTCAACCTCTTCTTCCCCATTGTTGTCATTCGTTTGTGGTTGAATTTCTGCTTCTTTACATTCACTTTTAAATCTTTTCTCCTCTGGATCTTTCTGCGAGTCGCATTGTTTAGCAGCCACGTATTCATTTTTACTTAGAGCCCAGTCAACGAAGACTGGCCTTCCCATTAATTCTTTATTATTACCTTTCAATATAGCTTTTGTAGCTTGATTAATTGTCGCATATTGTATAAAGGCACAGCCCACCAATTTACCGTCAGCACGTTTTAAAAGATTTATTTCCTCGATTTCACCCCACCGGCCAAAATGTATACGTAAGTCCTGGTCAGTAGCTTTATAGGCGATGTTTCGCACAATCAGACGGGCTTTTTTTTTTTGACGACATTCTTTTTCTTTCTTTTGTTTTTCTCTTCGAAATGGATTACGACGTTTTATTTTTGTTTTTTTCGACTCCTTTTGCTCATTCGGTTTGCTTTCTAAAGTCTCTTCCATTAGCATAACTGCCCTTTTTATCTTTTTTTGGTTTGTAAAAAAAGAATAGATACGGCCTGTATATTGTGGAAATTTCACTGATGAAACGCCTTCGCTAAGAGGCAAGAATAGATCAGATCAGAATAGTACTGACAAATTCCGGACAAAATTCTCAGAAAAATGTAGGCTTACCTGGTTATTTCTATGATAAAGACAATAGGAGAAGAAAACTTAAAAGGAGAAACCAGCAGATTTGATAATTGCTATTTTTACTTACGATTTTGAATATTTTCTTGACTTTGCAAGAAAGAAAAGTTTTTTTTTGCAGCACTAAAAAACCAAAAATAAACACAATATTTGAACAACACGTGAAAGCGAAAAACGTCAGAGACATCTGTAGTATTTTTCTATTCTTATGCCCTTAAGGGGTGGGTAATCGGATATAAAAAATATAGCTATTGCTTTTGCAAACGACGGTGAATTATTCCCAATTGTAAACAAATGTAAACAAAGCGGACGGGCTTTTGAATTTTAGATGCAGCCAATTTTGCGGGTGAAATTCTGCTACGTAATTAACCGCAGCAGAATGAAAAAAACTCTTGCATCGTTTAATTTTTAATATTTTATTTTTATGTTTTTATAATAAAAACATTTTTAATAAAGTTAAAAAAGGAAAGAAAAGCCACATGCTTTATTTATTTATTTATATGCTTTATTCACTACTACTGTTGCTACTTTTTGTTGTCAAGTTGCCAAATTGTTTGTATAGAATTTTAACAGATGCTTTTGCATTGATTTGTAATTAGCAGAGAATTTAACGACGGCTTTGCAATTAACAGAATTCAGCGACGGCTTTGCCGTTTTAACAGAGAATTTAGCTACAGCTCTGCCTTTTTACTATATGCTATTTACAGAAATAACGTAATACTCTATGCTAATTACAGAAAGAATGTTAATTTCAAAGCCGTCGGCAAAAGTCACCCATTTTCATTAACAATAAACTCTAGAGCACAGTGCTGTTATTTTACGTAAATCGGTACAAAAAAAAAAGATGCAATTGTTAATAATTAGTATTTAATTGTTAAAAGTTAATAATTAGTATTTAGTACTGGAAGTTTATTGTATTTATCGTATTGTATTTATTGTATTTATTGTATTATTGGGCATTTAAAAGAATGAATTTAAGTTGTTAGTTGGGCATTTAATCATTTATATATTATAAGCGACTCTGTGCTTTGCCTTTCAACAGGCAATTAGCGAGAGCTTTGTTTAATTTGATAATAAAAATTATGTCGGTCTAATTTTAGGGTAACTTGTAAAATTATTTTACCGCACTTGAGATTTGAACCCACGACATTTAGTTAAAATTTCGCGTCAAAAAAGTGGAGGTTCCAGTTTTGTATGTGTTCAATTATTACAAACATTCATTATATATTGTTTTTGAAAACGTTGAGTTTAAAATTAAATGCTCATACTATAGTTCTGGAGTTCCCAGATTCCTTCATATTTATGCCACTTATATGGCAGTGGAGAAACGACGGTTGGATTCGACCAAGGGTCAATCGAATCTAAATGACTCAGATCGCTTTAAAGGCCTGGGTGAGATTTTGGTTATTTTGCGGGCAGAGCATCCGCGAAATAAATTAGACGGTTACGGCATGTATTTATACGATGTTGTAATAGAAGAGCAAAAGCGACCAAGGAAAAGGAATCGCAAACAATCAGAAAACCGTTAAAAATAACAACTGTTTAGTTTAAATAAAAATATTCTATTTCATTCATAATCTGTTAAGTTTAATTTGAACATATATTTTCGCTTGATAGTTACTCTCGCTTTGCACATTCAAGTGTAGTTGTTTCGTATAACTGACCACAGACAATAATATCGTTTGTTACATAATCCGTACCTTGAAGTGTGTCGTCGTTGTTTATATTAATTTGCTTATATTGCATTTTTGTGGCACACTTCAAGCTATTCATATTGATGGAAGTAAATGAACGCAAAAAATGCAAGTGCATCATTTTTATGACTTTATTTATAACTCAATAATTCTGAGTTAGTTTATAAGAATTGTAATTTATAAGTCACATTTTCTAGCAATGAAGTTGTCTTTGTACTGTCTGAGATTACATTGATCATTATCTATTCCCTTTTTGTGGTTTCTTCCAAATACAAGTGCTGGAAGAACCAGATATAAAAGTTGGTCGACCCGACGTAACGTTTAGTCGAATCCTGCCAACCGAAGTCGAATGCCCGATGTTTAAATGTTGCCAAGTATTTTGAGATTTTAAAACGGTTTGTTCCGATTCAGCATCAAGGGTTAACAATAGTGTATCATCCATCATAAACATGCAAACTGTTTTGTATTATCTTGAGTAAGAACCCATTCACTTTTCTCTTCTTCAACTTTTATAATCGACTTTTTCTCATCTGCTGACAATTTGCCGCTCCATCTGGGATAACCTCCTTCTTCTTTCCTGCTTGTCAAAGATGTCTTAAAAGTCTTTTTTTCAGACAGCATGCTTTGCTTTTTAGAAATAACTATTTTTTATACAAAGCAAATTATCCTCAACATCACCATCACTTTCACTTTGATGATTTTCGTTTAGGAGGCCTTTCACACCTTTTCTCCCTTTTTCAGATGTGAGCACGTTGTTGCCATTAGCCGTTTGAAAACCTGTGGGTTAGTCGACTTCTGCACTGTTCTTTGCCAATTTTCTACATGCATAGTCCTTTTCTTGTAAACAGCCTAGAAATTCTCTTACTTGATTTTGACTTTAACAAGCCTGACATATAGAATATTGATTGTCCCCCATCTTGTGTAGAAAAGCTTATTACTCGCAGTTCCTTAAGTAAAGAGAAACTACCTTTATTCGTCGCCCTCTTCATATCGCGTAAGTTACTTCAAAATTTCTTCGCGTACAGCTTAGGTAAAATCCGTGGAAGTCGTAAGACTAATCAACATCAGCGGCGTACACAAAGAATTTTGGAATGGGTGAAGCATGAATCGCTGGAATCCGCTTAGAAAAGAGAATCAACCATTTGCCGAAGGCAAGCTATGATCTGTAAATTAATTAATAAGTTTGAATAACTTCAGTTAATTACAGAAGCAGCGTGCTGCGATAAAGGAGCAAGTGGAATCAGCTACCTCTTGCTTTGTTGCTCATTAGTCTTTTTTAGGAATCATTTCAAAAATCGTCTAAATGATAATGATATGCAACAGAAAGGAATTGAATGTTAATCCGCGGAGGAGTGCTAAAAAGAAACTTTAGATGAAGAACAAAAAGCAACGGAAGAAGGAACTTCAGATAAAGAACAAGGAAACGAAGTCGACGACTTGGAAAATAAAAAAAAAATGAAGAACACTCTTCAAATGCTGATGACGGTTCAGTTAACGGTGATTGAAGTGAGGAGGAAGTGGTAGCGAGATCGTACGCTTTTGATTGTCCTATTGCTTAAATTTTTCTTATCGTTTTATACGCGTTTAAAGCTAAGTATCTGTAAAAATATAAAATTACTGAAGGTGTAAAAGTGTAAGAATTACATTAATTACATTAAAATTTTGTGATTTTCATTTTGGTTCTTGCGATAAGCACTTGTGCTCGCAACAGTAATTGTCTTTCTAGTTTTTTTTGTTTTTTTCTTGCTTTGGAGTTAACAGCTTTTCTCTTTCTTAAATTTGTAGATAAACTTAGTGTAGTGGATTCTTTTGAGTTTTTTTTCTTTTTTGTCGTAATAATTCACTTGACATGGAGTGCTTATATACACCATGTCGCGTAAAAACAGGCCCGGAATCGGATAGATTCGTTTCTTGTTGGGTCTGCGAGCGCTTTGGTCGTGCAAAGTGTGTCGGTATTATCGGTCGTGCTGCTGACGCAGTTGCTGACCCTTCTAAAGGCTTAAGATGGTCATGTCCTGACTGCAGGCAGCGGGACATTGATTTTTACAAATTGAGTAGAAATCTCGACTCCTGTGAGAGAAGTTTGAGCTAATTAAGTCTAGGTTTGATAAGCGTCGTTTTATTGAGCGCTCGTCTTCTTCCCAAGCCAGAAAAATAACAACTCGTAGCGTGGCGTGTGGGACGTCACCTCTGAGTTCCTCTAAATCTGATTCGTTGGTACAAGTTACCGCTCCTTCTAACTTTAAAATGAACGTTAATGTTTCCGATATTGCTAAGTCTGTTGGTAACAAAATAGTTACAAACAAACCGGCAAGTGTCCTTCCGTTTTAAGCTACGCTGAAGTGGCGAGGGTATCTCCGCCCAGGGCCGCCACTCACTCTAATCAAGCGCCATCGCCTAAATAATAAAGAGAAAAATAAATCATCCTCTCCCCCTTGCTGTTCGAATGTGAACGCTTGTCAGCAGACTGGGCAAGTCTCACAAGTTGTTGGTGCAAGGGCGTTAACGCCATCTATATACTCCCCAACCGTGAACCCTCCTGTTTCAAGTAATGAAATTTGCTTGACGGCATTTGTGTCAACACTGGCACCTGAAACATCGGTGGATAACATAAAAAGTTATCTGGCAGGAAAGTCTCATCAGGCATCTTAAAGTGCATTAGCATTTTCAAACTGACTCCTTCTCAATCTAGGGCAATCTCCTCTTTTAAAATACTAGTTACGACTGAAAACAGTGATATGTTGTTAAACAAACCACTGTGGCCAGTAGGATCCTTAATTAAGGAACTTATCCATCGAGGTCGTCCCCGTAATACCAAAGCAATAGTCGTGTCGCCTTCAAAAAACTAAACGTTTCTTCAGGTCCATTATCTCTCATTTAACATAATGTTAGGGGCCTAAATTCAAAATTCGTTCTACTTTTTTATTATTCAGTGAGCACGTAGTTTTTCTATTTGGCCTTCACCGAAACTTGGCTAAAACCCGATCTTCATTCGTCGGAACTTTTTCACAATTCTTTCCAAGTCTTCAGAAAGGATCGAGTGAACCGCATTGGTGGTGGTGTATTAATTGCCATATCTGCGTCAATCCCGTCCAATTTAATAGAATTTCCCACTTCTCCTGACGTTGAATTTATCGCCTTTCGTGCGAAAATGCCTAATAAACATCTATTTATAACCTGCTCCTATATTCCCCCAAATTCTGATATCTCCATTTACAAGAATCACGCTGCCCTCATTTGTGAAGTGGCCAAGCAATCTAGACCCACCGATTTGGTCGTTGCATTGGGTAACTTCAACTTGCCTCAAGTCACTTGGTGTAAGAGTGATAATTCTGCCTGTTTGATTCCTACTTCAACGTTTGATAGGGCTGTTGTGTTCTTTAGTGAATTGTTTGATCATAATTTGGGTCAATATAATCGTACCCCTAATTGTAATGGTAGACTGCTTGATCTGTGCTTTGCCAACTTTCCCGGGATTAACGTAAATCTTTGCCCACCTTTTAGTTTACCTGGGGACCCTTATCATCCATCAATGTGCATTTCCTTTCATCATAAGAATGATGGTTCGTTGAACTGCCTTAATGTGCCAAATCAAACTTTTTTAAATAAATGTTATGATTTTCATAAAATCAATATTGTATTGCTAAAACATCGTCTTTCACATATGAGGGTTGATTTCTCAACCGGAAGTATTGAAAGCTTGTGGTC